ATGGCACTTTTTAACTTTTAGGTCATGATTTGTTTCTACCTTAATTGATTAATTTTGTAAACTGGATACTATTATTGTTTAATATAATTCATTTTTGCTTTTAGTTACTCACATAGTATCATTTTAACTGCTCACTATTTCTTCTTGCATCTTTTTTTATAGGTTCGTATCACATAGAATTCTATGTTGATTTCTTGAGACTCGGTTTTAAAATACATCCATCTAGAATTTTTTTCCCCCCCAAGACTCTGGGGGTAGTACCAACTTGGAACTCTTTAAAAATTTTTCAGATTGGAGGTTTTGAAGCAGAGGTGGTGGTAAATCTGTCCCCAGAATCAAATAAAAGTGGGCTTGCTGTTAAGAATTCTCGAAGGAATTTTTGGCAACATGATGAATCTGGAAGATATTATGTTAGGTGAGATAGGCTAGGCACAGAAAGACAAAAACACTATATGATGTCATTCACACATGGAATCTAAGAAAGTTAATCTCATAGAAGTAGAGAGTAGAATAGTGGTTACCAGAGGCTGGGGAGGGTAAGGAGTGTGTGTGTAGAGGGAGAGGTTGGTCAATGGGTACAAAGTTACAGTTAGGAAGAATAAGTTCTGGTGTTCTACTGTAGGGTGACTATAGCTAATAATAATGTACTGTATATTTCAAGATAGCTAGAAGACAAGATTTTGAATGTTATCACCATAAAGAAATGATAAATGCTTAAAGAGATGGATATGCTAATTATTCTGATTTGATCATTATACAATGTATACATGCACTGAAACATCACACTGTATCCCATAAATATGTACAATTATGTGTCAATTATAAATTAAAAATACATAAAAAATTCTCATAGGAGACTTGTTTTGTTTTTCGTTCAGCTCCACTTGAACAAATAGAGATAAACATCTCTGCTAATTCTCTCCAGCCAGGTTTTAATGTATTTTGAATTATGATTATTCAGAGGTCCTGTTTTTCTCTGAATTTCTCTTAACTAAGATGCCATTCTGATAGCACCCTAGTCATTGTGTCCTCTCTTCAGTGCAGTTGACTGGTTATAATAGAGGTTTTAGGCTATAAGTGATGGACAATTGGCTCCAAGTTAATGCAAGCTCCAGTACTCACAGAATCCTTTCCTACTTTGTGAATAGGATTTTTGTTGTTTCTGCATTTTTTAATTAACTTTAGATGTACTATTGTGGGAGGTGATTCAGTTAATGGAAGCCTTTATGTTTTTCTATGGTTATTTCTTAAATTGTTGAGTATAATCTGTATGTAGTGGTATTTAAGGAGCCAACAGAAACAGTAATAGTTAGATAAAAACATTTATATGAAGGCACATAATATCTGACTTTGAATGTGCCATCATATAAATGTAAATTATATAATTTTATATGATAACCAAAAAAAAATCACTACAATATAAATCAGGCTAGTGTGTTTTAAAGATGGAGAAAACCATTATCAAGTTTTTTCACAATGACAATGGCCATTATGTGCTATACTCAACTTTATTTTTAAAGTGAATAAAAAAATTTCAGAAATGTTCCTGGCATAGTGTCTAATCCTAATAACTAACATAATCAGTGTTACCAATGCCACAGCAGAAAACCACCATATATAAATTTACTCTTTAAATATTGTATAAGATTAATAATGTCTGCATGGCAGAATTAAAAATACTACTTAATTCTTATCAAAATTTCTTAAGATATGTCTAGGTCTGGTTTATTTATTTTCCTAGAAATTATGAAAT